TAACACAGGCCAAAGTATTTCTATATCAAGCCCATAACGTGTCTGATCTTTTAGAAATATATTGCCTTGACTTGGACTGCAAGAATGGAGAATACACCACAGCCCATGGTAAACTGTTTAATTACCCTCACTCCTCAATACTTGCCCTTTATTTCTAGTCTGAATTTGTGGTTTCAGCTTCCCACCTTTGGCTCTCACTATGCTCTTTTTTGTTTTGTTGTTTGTGCTGTTATCGGAAATCTTTTCCCCACATAGGAACTTGTAGTCTATGATCAAGTCATCTCTTAATCTTTTCTTCAAGAACATTTCCTTTTCATGAAGTGCAATGACGGTTGATTGAGCAAGAGGTACAGAGAAAAGCACTAGCAAACAAGAGACCACCCTTTTTTATCTGCACAAGAGTAGTTCAAATTAACTCAGAATGATTGTTCTATTCTATTGTTGTTTGGATAGGTTACTAATTAAGGAATGAATTTAACTTGGAAACATCCTAAATACCCCCCATCATTTTTATTTTCAAATTAGACAAAGTTTCTTACACTTTACATACTGAGATTGTCTTTCAGACCACCAAAAATCAATTGCCCTAAGCAAAGAAATGGAAAAATAATTCTGAGATAAGTGTGGCAGTTGAATATATAATACACAAAAAGAATCCAGTACCTTCATCATGAAAGCACCTGTATGATGGCTGTGTAAATATTTATGTACTTAGGGATGGGAAGGAGGAGATCCTGGTCCTGTTGAAATAAATGAGTTTTCTCCCATTCTTCAAATTGTCCACAAACAGTTTTAGAGGGTATGTTTGAGGATAAAACAAAAATTCCCACTGAAAAGTAAAAAAGGGTTTAATTTGTTAGGAGTTTAGATCACTGAAGAAAATGTTTTATGCTTTAACAGGGTTCTCAATCTGTTCATGCCTAGAATACTGTTTTCCTGTGATGTGGCACCTGGCCCGCTTTAACATTGTTTTATTGTTTTACACAGACAAGATATGCTTAAATAGCATTAAAACTATTTTAGAACCTAGATACTTAAATATAAATAATGATATCTGCTGATACCCCAAGAGACACTTACAAAAAATAGATTAAAAAATCAGTAGCTGTCTAAAATATATAATAGTACAAAACTGGCAGACATTTACAATCCACCCAAGTGTAGGACATTAAAAGTAAGGAAACAACACAGTCACTATACTCAAATGATCAGGTGGATAAATAGGTATTCTATGTAAAAAGAGGATAAAAAACATCTTTAATGATGAGTTAAAAGGACACCTAAGCTACATAAACAGTGGAATAAAATAAAGAAGAGTCCTTGTTCATAAGCAGATTCATTCATACCAACGTGCACCTTTTATATACTTGCCCATATATGATCCGATCATAGCTCCTAAAGAGACCACCTCTTTCCCTATAGAACAGCTCAGCTGATGTCCATTTGAACTTCAGGAAACTGGAGGCAGTACATACTTAGTGGAAGGTGATCTTTTCTGGTGCTCATTTCCTTTACCGGTCTGCCAGGGTATGTCTACACAGGATTTTCGAGCCACTGAGAGCAAGTGAGGGATGCGGTTTGGCAAAGGGGACACCCGTGCACACTGCCTACGGATTGAGCCACCATTGGAGAGAACTGAGAAATTGCAGTGGGAGTGTGACCACCTTGTCCAGGCTGTCACGGCCTGGGTGATAAGTTGACACAAGCCAGGCCAGGAAAAGTCTGAACCTCAGTCTTGCATGATGTACTACATAAGTACAAGAGGCCATATGTCTGAGGAGCTTCAAGCAATTCCTTGCTGTAGTGGTGAAGTATTGCCTGAAGCCTTCTATGAGGTCGTGCATTGTCTGAAAATGAGACTCTGGTTTTCATTGTCTGAAAACGAGACTCTTGACCCAAGTCCAACACTGCCCCTATACTCTATTCTCTGAGTAGGGGATAGAGTTGATTTGTGGACAGTCAGCAAGAGACTCAGCCTGTCAAAGGTAGACCTTATGCTGACATGTTGCTACACTTGTGCCTTGGAGCAGGCCCTGAATAACCAGTCACCAAAGTACAGGAATACCTGCACCTGCCTTTTTCTCAGGAAGGTGGCTATGACCAGTGTTCCCTCTAATTTTTCCCATGCATGTGCTGAATGAATTTTGTTATGTGCACCAATATGGAGGTGATGTGTCACACATCACTTCCATATTGGTGCACATAACAAAATTCATGTGGCGGAGGTGGGACTGAGGAGTTCGGAGTGTGGGAGGGGGCTCAGGGTTTGGGCAGAGAGTTGGCATAAGGGCCCCGGCTGGGGGTGCAGGCTCTCGGGTGGGGCTGGGGATGAGGAGTTTGGGGTGCAGGCTGTCCCAGGGCTGGGGTACAGCGAGGGACTCCCCCCACCGCAGCTCTCTCCCCTGGCTGCAGCAGGTGTGGGCTGGGGCTGGGTTGGGCTTCTCCCCTGGCCTCTGCAGGTCTCCCCACTGTGGCAGGTCTGGGCCTGGGGAGAGGTATCTCTTCCTGCCTCAGCCCTGAGCACCTGCGTGGTGCTTAATAGGCTGCTGCACGGCTGCACAACTTAGAGGGAACTTAAGCAATGTCCGCCATGCACTTGGTGAAAACTCGAGGGGCTAATGACAGGCCGAGGGGGAGGACTATAAACTGGTAATGGTTGTGGTTCACTACAAACCTCAGAAAGTGTCTGTGGGCTGGAACTATCGATACGTGGAAGAACGCATTCTTCAGGTTGAGTATGGTGTACCAGTTCCCCTGATCTAGGGATGGGATGAGGGCCCTCTCGGGGGAAGGGGAAGCTGCCTAGACTAGTCAAGGGGAGATGCTGATGAAAGAGGTCTGCACTAAGCTCTGCCCCTCTCTCAGAGATAGGCACCTAAGTCCAGGCTGCAAGGAGGTGCCCCGAGCCTGATGTTATGCCCACGGGGTCCAGAAAGGCCATTGCATGGGCCCTTGCCAATGCGCCAGCCACGACATCATCCCTGCCTCCTGTCTGTAGCGGCTCCACTCTGATTGGAGCCGGCTGCGCCTGGAGTAAGAGGACTGCCTTGGAGGACGCCGAGGGTAGAGACCACAGCAATGCCGAGTGGACGGCAAGTGGTGCCTCATCATTAAGGGCTTGCCTCTAGATGACGGCACACATTGCGGTACCAGAGGTCTATCCCACCTGGCGGGGGGCTGTGGTGCCATTATTGGCCATCAGGCCACCTCAAATGTGTCTGCGGAGGAAAGGAGCTCCAACTCCTTCACCTGGCACTCTCTAGCAGGGGAGTCCAACAGTGCCGGACTCGACGGACCCCTCTGCTGGCCTGAAGTTGACAGTGCTGTTTCCGGCGAGACAGGCGTCAGGTGCCCCTGCACGGGATGCACACTGCTAGCGCTGTCAGTCCTGGCTGCTCTCACCGTGGGCGAGTGCCCTCTGTCAGTCTTCTTGTGAGCTTATGAGGCACTGGTGTGTGCAAGCGGTGTCGTGTTGCCACCGCGGGCTTCAGTGCCGGGGAGTGCCTGTTCCAAGAGTCTCTATGCATAGAGTCCTCCCTCAGTGCTGTAGCTTCTCTAACGGAGGCCGGAAAGCTCCACATAGAGGTGCTCAGTGCAGAGTCCTGCTGGCCCAGAGCCAGCTAGGAACAGAGGGCTGCCTCCATGAGGAATTGCTTGTGCCTGAAGTCCCTTTCCTTTGTTCTCGGGTGGAACCCTCTGCAGATCTTGCAGCAATCGGTTTGATGTGCCTCCCCCAGACACTTTAGGCAGGACTCATGGAGATCACCCTTTGGCATGGGCTTGTGGCAGGTCCCACACGGTTTAAAGCCTTGGGATTGAGGCATGCCCTGAACCCCAAGAAGGGAAGGAATTGGGGTTGGGGGAACCCCCAACTCTAACTACTGTAACTAACACTAACTATTTACAGGCTAACAGAAAAGAGAGAGATCACTAGAGGAAACACTCGCTGAAGCAAGAGAGACACTCAGCTCCAACGACCATCACACTGGTGGCAAGAAGGAACTGAAGAGACAGTGGGTCGGCAGGGACCTATATACACTGCCAAGAAAGGGTGGCTCCACAGCCGACCTGATGGGAACTGCTAGGGGAAAAACCTTCCGATGACTGTGCACATGGTGCACACACCCCTACTTGAAATTGACATGAGCAAGTACTCGAAGAACTGTTCCTTCCTATGTGTCTGTATGGCACCTATCATATTGAAGCTTCTATTCTGATTTTATAATACAAGGGCCAGCAACCTCTGGCACGCAGCTTGCCAGGGTAAGCACCCTGGCGGGCCCGGGCCGGTTTGTTTATGTGCCACGTCCGCAGGTTCGGCCGATCACGGCTCCCACTGGCCACGGTTCGCTACTCCAGGCCAATGGGGGCTGCGGGAAGCGGTGTGGGCCGAGGGATGTGCTGGCCGTGGCTTCCCGCCACCCCCATTGGCCTGGAGCGGCGAACTGCGGCCAGTGGAAGCTGCGATCAGCCGAACCTGTGGACGCGGCAGGTAAACAAACTGGCCCAGCCCACCAGGGTGCTTACCCGGGCAAGCCGCGTGCCAGAATTTACGGACCCCTGTTATAATACTAGTGAATGGGAAAAGGAGGTCGCAGGAAGAATTTATTTAGATGAGCTTGAAAGAGGCTCTTTTGGAGGTCTTTGACCTAGTAAGTTTCTGGTCTGTATTTTTAATTTTTACAAGCACTTTTATAAATTGAAAATAAAAAAAATACTAAATAAATATTGATAATTTGGGAATACATGCAGCTGTTCTGGTTGTATCTATACCTGTTTCTTATAAAGCTGCTGTCTTTTTCCTTTGATATCCTGCTGAAAAAAACCCCATGTTAGATTAGGACAGCTGTCATTGTGTTTCACAGGAAAAAGATTTATTGAACACGCATCCCACATTCAGTATAAGAGGCTGATGGAAAACTTAAACAAAAGAGCAATTAAAATTTCATTCTATTTTCTCATCAGTTCTTAATACCATATTTTTAGTAAATTACACAAAACATTGTAATAGAGATATTTTATTTACCAAAACAGCCAGAAATTTACAGTCTTCTTTTAGAGTGACAATTACATAACAAGGTACTTAATATAATTTTAAAATTTCAAGCACATTTTGTATTTGATTAAATTTTGGATTTCCTGAGACATGCATGGCATTTCTTTAGGCTATAGTAAATTAAACACTGTGCATAGCAAAACATTCTACATTGAGAGCAGTGGTAAGTCACTGAAATTTTAGTGGTCAACAAATTGAAGTGCAACAAGAATTAAACTATTCTAGGCTTCAAAATACCTTAGACTATATCTAGAAACATGTAGTAATGAATGAGTACATTACATTTTTAACCCAGTAGTTTCTTACTAGAATACATCTACTTCACTATAGTGATTAGTAAAATATATTATAAATATCTGAACAGGCTATTTTCCAACCATGGGTTATTTACAAGTAGATTTCTCCTCAATAACTAATGCAAGTGGTGCATTTATATTTTGGTTGCTTCTTAACTGAAATAGGACAATGCATCTTGGGCCTGATCCCAGTTTTCTCCCACAGGCAAAACAGGCATAAACCCTTCTGCATTAAGACTGGGTGATTATTGCTATTATGCTTTTTTCTAGAATTGTAAAAATACACACGAGTCTCCTCCTTTTACCACTTTAAAATGCAAACATAAATCCTACATTTTTCATCTTTTGGTTAAACATAGCAGTACCTCCTGTGTAATTTTTTCAAAGGCCTCTGGGTATTTTTGTGAGTTGTGCACTATAGAGAGAGCCTTTTACTGGATTAAATGCAACTTCAGTGGAAGTTTTGCCTATTTAAAAACATAAGGATCAGACCCAGTATGTTTCATGGGTTTGTACTATTAGAAGTCCTGCATCACTATTCACTTTTTCTGTCTTACATTAGACATTCCACTGGCTCACAAAGCAGAAATTGATTGGCAGCTGAAAAAGTAGTACATTTTGGTGAACCAGTCTCCTTTATATACAAATTAGAGCAGCAGACAGTTAATAGAAAGAACCAGTACGCCATGTTTTATGTGAGCAAATGCAATATCTGACACCTCAATTCCAAGGTCATAGTTGATAGAAAATTCACTTTCTACACTGTGACCGCTTAGAGATTGCTACTATCATACACTCTATGGCATTTTGGGCACACAGTTATTCTTCATCAACATTTAAGCAACTAGGTTTTTGTAAACATGATTATAAACGAAAACACTGTGTACTCAAATGATTTGCTATGAGCTAGATTGTGCCACAAATCTCATACATTGAGTAGTACCCTGAATAAGGGTGACAGAATCAGGCCACATTAGTAATACATTTCTACAGCCAGGTAGGAAAATAAAACACCTAAAATGTAACTGATTTAAACTCTGTCAATTGCACATAACAAAATATTAATATCAACAACAAAGTCATAAAAACACATTTTGTAAAATGCATGCTTTGTTTATAAAATACATATAATAAGCACATTCTCTTACAAAATATTGTAACAAGTTGGTTACATTGGAACTATACAGGAATTCTTAGAAATAAAGTTACTTTAAAAACAGATTTAAGATTTAAATCTGGACAGAAGTAGCAGACTATTACAATATTTTGAAGAGGTTCACAAAAAGAAAGGAATAAAAGATGGTGAGGGTTTACTGAATTGTTTAATATAGGTAATAGAAAGTTAGAACTTCTTTGCAAGTAAAAGGACCAGAACTAATACTTACAGAATCTAGAACAATTTGCCAGAGATTTCTACCTTATCTTAAATAGAATATATGTAGGATTCTTTTAAATCAAATTATGTCTTTCTCCTTTATTAAGTACATACGTTTTGCAAAAACCTAAGACACCAAAAAATAATTTACTTGTCCAAGTGCATAAAAATGTGTTGATCTAATCTCTATTTCCTACCACCAGCAATAAAAACTCTATATACAATATATTTTCCTGTAAAACATTATAAAGGGCACCTGAAAAATCCATGCAAGAGACTATCAAAAAAGGTATGTAATATGCAAGTATATACTATGTACACAGTGTGTACAGAATTTCATGGTGAAAGACACTTAAGGATTCTTCTGTTCCAAAAACTTGTTAAGTCTGTGACAGAACATTGGCACCACAAGACAAAAGGAACTCTACAAATAAAGCTGATCCAAGATTGAAGCTGTGCATTCACAAGATGACAGCCATAAGGGGTTAACAGTATGTGCAAAATAGATGGACATGCTCTTTTGCTTGGGGAAAAAAGGCAAGGCAACTTTTTCAAATCTGTGCAATATAGACAAGGGTTCTGAGAGTACAGGGGATGGACTACGCTTCAGTTTAGATATAGCCTATGGAAATAAATAAGTATATAAAAAACTTACGTGGGCCGGTCAGAAGCTGAAGTCTACAACTGAATTAATAGGGCCTTCACACACTTTTATAAATGAATTATCTGGCTTTAGAAACATTGCTACTTGGCCTTGGAGAGCATTTCCTGCGTATGGTCATCACTGCTTTCCCCTGTCACGATTGCTCAGTAGTATGTCACCAGTGATTTTAAGCATTGCTATGGAGCACAGGTATAATAGCGAGTGATTGCCTTTAATAATCATTAATAGTTTTTATTTTTGCCTAATTACCATTAATGCAGTATTATCTATTATGAATACTATGGCAAACAGTTACCTACATCTAACAATAAAGATTTTAATGGCAATCATTGCAATGTGTTTTGACTTAGACTCGGGGAAAGGTGGAGGATACCGTCCAAGTCCAGAGTCTAAGCTCAAATACAGTGAGAAAGTGGATCAAGATACTTACCTGGATCGCTCTCTGCAACCCAAATTCAGACTTTTAGCTGAACATACTTCAAGGGCAGCTGTTCCTAAAAACTTAAAAAATACAAAGACTCCAAACCCTTTTCAAGGCCATTTGACTCTTTTGGGTTGATTGCTTACATGTTGTGAAGAAATGAGATTCACTGTGTTTGCAGAAGTCTTCTCCCCTCAACCCAATTTTATGAAAGTGTTCTCTACTCTGAGCTATTATACTCCACCTACTAGAAAGTAAAAGGCAGCTCCACCACCCCTCAAAAACATAAATACCTTTTCACACACTCACTATATATCCAGGCACTGATATTTGCTGCTTCTAAAAAACAGGGACTCTGGATGCTGCCACTTCATCTATAGGCAAATCTCAAATTAATTCCAAACTTTGATAAATGTACTATCTGGGTAGAAAGTAAGTCCAGATTTTAAGAAGGTTGTGGAATTTTGATTATAAAATGGGAGTTGGGTACCTAGGTGGTTTTGAAAATCCTTGTAGGCACCTAATTGCATCTTCAAGCATCTGAATATTTTTTAAAATCTGCCCTTTGGTGCTGTTATGTGAACCTTTGAGAACAATGTGCTTCCACTGCAAAGTCACTGGTTAAGAAGCAATTTTTTTTTAAACTAGGGAAAGATATTTCCAATTGACTAGTGGGGTTACAATAATTTCAAAGGGTCCCATAACCAGCATAAACTGGAGGGACTGTAGCAGTCAAATTTGAAGAGTAAATGTTGGCTGTGGGGGAAAAACAGGCAACCAAAAGTTGAATGTAAACTGTCTAAAAAGTGCTAGGAAGCAGTATGCAAGAGATGAAAAGGACCTAAAGCTGAGAAAAACTTTAAGTTAAAGAGACTTCCTCCCTTCAAAACCTCTTACTTCAGAAGTACTACTGATGGTCTGAGCCTTTCCCAGTTCATGTAGGAGGAAGCATGAGCATCCCTTTAAGTTGCTGAGAGCTAGAAAGCTAGAAATGAGGAAATAACTAAAGTAATTGTGCACTCCCAGGCTTGTAAATACTTTAAAGAAGAAGTAACAAATTTAAAACAAACAAATAAAAAGGTATAGTTATTTAAAGAACTAATACTAAAAGGGCATACATTAATTTCCTAAGGAGACTGTATGAAAGTGGTTAGAACGGGGGGGCAGAGAGTTGATACCTGCTCTATGTCCTACACTGTCACTGATTCACTGAATTTTGAGATCCTTAGAAATGAAGTCTGACGGTGCAAAATATTTAGAAGATACCATTTAACAGAATACAACATATTGAAGGTGCACTGTAACATCCCAGACTACATATTAGGCTAGGTCTACACTAAAGCTTATATTGGCATAACTTATGTCGCTCAGGTGTGTGAATAAGCCACCGCTCTGAGTGACATAAGTTACACTGATATAAGCGCTGTGTAGACAGCACCATGTCGGTGGGAGACCTTCTCGCAGAAGTGGTTTTATTATGCTGAGAGGCGAGCTCTCTCCCGTCAGCATAGAGCATCATCACCAGACGTGCTGCAGTGGCACAGCTGCATTGCTGTAGTGCTTCTAGTGTAGACAAGCCCTTAGTCAAGATAGGCATTTCTCAGGCATGTTGAAGGCACCAAGCTACTCATTTCTCAATACACAAAAGGGAAACAATCCTGCATTCCTTGCATACCCAAATTTATCTTCAATGGGTATGCATGGAATGCAGGATAGGATCCAAGATTATTGCTTATCACACTTCGGGTCAGATTCTCTCTATTCTGTATTTTGTGTAGTCACACCAGGGCATTTGTTATGATTTAGTAGAATTTTACACTCACTCTGCCCCGATACAAGTGACTACACAAGATGCAGGGCAATGCTCTATTCTCTTTCTCCCCTTCCCTCCCCCTCCCTCCTTTTATTTACATACATACATACACATACACACAAACGCACGCGCACACACAATCTTGAGGCTGCTCTAAACTACACTAGGACCCAACAAGCGCAGAACTGATCCCACCACTGGGAACCACAAATGGCTCTTCTGCAGCCCCTTTTGTAAGCTACACCCCACACCCCTTGGCTGTAGCTGAGAATATGGTCCTATATGTTAATCTTATTTTTAAACAAGTTGGAATTTCCATGCCTATGATGTTTGGGGGCTTACTAATAGAATCATTTAAATAATCGGAAGAGAAATCTTACATACAATTTGCCATCCTGGATGTATAAAACAGTTAAAGAATTTCAGACAGTTTCCCTGCATAAGTTTGGCGAAAACTGTCTTTAATCTATGGAGACAAGTTTCAGATAAACTCTTCCTTCCTTCACATTAAGAGGTCACTAACAAATATCAGCAACATCATGTCATTAAGATGAAATTTAAACATGTTTCAGAAATAAAGTTTCACTTTTTCAATCCTGCACTGCGACTGCATGGGCAGATTACTGTGCCTGCACAAAATTCTATTAAGTCAATGGGACTCGAATGGGCAGTTTACATGAAAATCACAATGCAGGATCAGGGCCTAAAGTAAGTAAAAATAAAATAAAAAAAGCAATTATACTATGCTACAGATTAAATATTTGCCAACGTACTCTCAAATTAACCACAACTATGAAACCAAATAGTGAAACTCTAAACTTGGACCACTATGGGATTTGCTCTATTCAGAACTGGGTAAGTGCCAAAAAAGCATTGCTAGACATAGACCATTGTTGAGTAGTGTCTCAGAAACAACCAGGTCTACAAATGAATGATTTATAATAATTGAAACCTGAGAATCTCAGCTTTCAAACAGTATTAAGCACTCATTTCTAGCAATGACATGTTATGAAATGCAATAAGACCATCACTCAATTACTATCTTGCTTTATTTTCTCCTCACCTGAATTCTGACATGATTTTGGTAGCTGCTACCTTTAGTACTGCAGGAAATCAATGAACTGTCTGAAACCATTTGAAATCTTAGCTTTCAAGTTAACAGACAAAATTCATTCTAGTGGCCAAGACTATTTGCTGCTAAAATCATGTAACAAAGACTGCTCTAGAAAATGAATCAATTGTAGGACTAGTAAATATTTATGTGACTTGTAATCTTTTCAACTTTTTCCAAACACTGGATCTAGGTCTGCAATAAGTAATACAAAAGTCTATCCCTGGTAAACATTAAAGAAAATCTTGTTTAAGAAACAGCTTATTTTGAGCAATGTCATCACTCAGATACTTTCCCCCCTCATTTTAGTTACTGTTATTCCTTCTTTAATTTTAATCTAGTTAGAAGATCTCAATGCATTTTGTTGACACTCCATAGTTACAAAAAAATACAGAATGCAAAATCCAAATACAAGACTAATCTGGAGTTAAATAACCTTTCATCAATTTTTGAAACCAAAAGCTTTAAAAGCTGTAAATTTCAGAACAATTTCACACCATTCTTAGTGTTTGTACCACAGACAAGGCAAATGTTAAAGTAAACTCTCCGCGTGCTACAAGGTGTACAAATGATATAACAATTGCTATGTTATTTCATGCACCACAAATATTTATCCTCTGAGGAACTATCGAGACAAAATTCTAATCACAGTAGTATTCAACTCTGAAACACGGCTTTATAGCTAAAGGTAATAAATGTAAATATGCTAAATTCTGTCTCACTCTACTTGAGTCACCTCTGAATTATTCCAGATAGAGTTTCTGTAAGCTTTACATAAAGATTATGAATAAAAAGCATCTAGCATTTCACAAAATATTCTCGAATTAAAATAGCCTAGAGATGCAATATTGCTCACTATTATTTTAGCCCCTAAAAGGAGTCAAAGTTAATTCTAACAGGTACAGTAATAGCGCATACTACATTCAAAGGTTATTTTTTTTAAGTATATTTATGATAAAAGACATCTTGATTGGCTGAATTAGAATTTCCAGAGTCATTTTCACCTCTGAGATGGACTGAATGTATTTACAAACAAGGGCAGCGGCACCTCACATAAGCCATTGTTCTTTTTCCTTACTGTATTTCTCAGACCACTTGCGAGTGAGCTCCAGATACATAGTTGGTTTATGAGGCTTGTAATCCAGGTAAGTTACCTGTCCAGTTTTCTTAGGAATAGCTTTTTCAATTTGAGTCCCTTCATGCCATTCATTGAAAGAGGTGATGGAAATAATTTCTGGTCGCACCAAAAGTGCTGCACTGAAGGCAGTCTCATAATACTTCCCATTAACACGGTTGCGGGTGTTGTGGTTATTCCATGGTCGGATGCTGGTGTCAATGTATCCTGGTCCCACACTTGGAATGAACATTAAGTTGCTGCTGTCACAAAAGGCTTTTAGACTTGGCCAATTGTGATGAGATGAGCCATAAGAAAAGCCATTGGTGGCAAAGTATGTATAAATTCCATCAAAACCACTTCTGTGGATTTCATGTTTATGTTTTTCTTCCACTAGAAGTGCAATGAATAATCCATCATATGGTGTATTGCGAATGCTCTGGGATCCAGAAACAGTTAATAGATTTGCCCATATTTCAGGGATTGTTACATAAGAATCATAAACATAAAACATGGGGAGGGTTCTGCCTGTGCTGGTCTTATGCCTGTAAAAAGCTGGATGGCCTCCATATCTATAAAGCAAACAATATGGTAAATATTCATAATAATATGCCAGTTGGGAGAGAATCTTTCACATACTGAACTGAGGAATTTTTTATGCATTTTAAAACTTTATGTTCAAGATGAATTTAATTCAGTAATGTGGCCATTCAAATATATATTTTAACCATACATATGATGGAAATTTATGTATTACAGCAAGGAGATAATAATCTATTGCATAACTTAATTATTAGTGTCAAGTCCTACAAGTAGCCATCACTTTCCTCTCAAAGGCAAAACATTAATTCGCTGAATCGTTATGGAAGATACTCTAAGTGGCAGCAATAAAACAAAAACTGTTCATAACTTCTTTGACTCTCAGGCTGGATTGAATTTAAGGATATTATGGGTTAGCCCATTAGAAGTTTAGATGGCAACCTGTAAGCCTACAAAGTTTTTTGTTTTAAATAAACAAATATAAGTGTCTAAGAGCTTAAATAAAAGTAGTTAGAAATGTCAGTCTAAGGTGTCATGAAGCATGTGATAAAAATTGGTTACTAACCTGGTTCCATAACTGTTAGTCTTTGAGATGTGTTCCACACGTCCATTCCACTCTTGGCATTGGCGTGCCCAGCGCACAGCAATCAGAAACTTTTCCCCTCAGCGGCACCCGTTGGGGTGGCTCAAGCTCCACCTGCTGCTACACACCACTGCACGTAGGTATAAAGGGCAGAGTCGTCTCTAGCCTCCCTCAGTTCCTTCTTGCCATAACTCTGATGAAGAGGGGTAGGAAGGTGGGTCATGGAATGGTCGTATGCAACACATCTCAAAGAACGACAGTTATGGAACAAGTTAGTAACAGTTTTTCTTCGAGTGACTGCACATGTGCATTCCGCTCTTGGTGACTCTCAAACTGTAAGACAGTGGGCGGGATTGGAGCGTATTTCAATAAAGATTGGAGAGCAAGTCATCCCACTCTCGCATCATCTCTGGAGTCTTGAACCACAGTACAGTGGGAAGCAAGCATGTGGACTGAGAAGCAGGCTGACACTCTACAAATGTCTGCAATTGAAACTTGTGCCAGAAAATCTGCCGAGGCTGACTGTCACCTCCTCAAATGAGCTGTGACTCTGTCAGGTGGAGCGACATTAGCCAAGTCATAGTTCATGCATATGCAGGATGTAATCTGGGAAGATGTTCTCTGGATGGAGGAGACTGACTGACCTCTTACTCTGTCTGCCACTGCTACAAACAACTGGGAAGATTTACAAAAGTAACTGGTTCTGTCCTGGTGAAAGGACAAGCCTTTTCTGACAGCCAGGGCTGGCTCCAGGGTTTTTGCTGCCCCAAACGGCGGAAAAAAAAAAGAAAAGAAAAAGAAAGAAAAAAAAAGCCGCGATCGTGATTGGCGGCAATTCGGCGATAGCTCCACCATGCCGCTTTCTTCTTCGGCGGCAGGTCCTTCCCTCCGAGACGGACCAAGGGACCCGCCACTGAAGTGCCGCAGAAAAGCCTGACGTGTCGCCCCTTCCCCTTGGCCGCCCCAAGCACCTGCTTGCTGAGCTGGTGCCTGGAGCTGGCCCTGCTGAAAGCCAAGGTATGCAAACACTCTTCGTCCCTGGTTGTATATGTTTTTGGATAGAACACAAGCAAAAAAATTGGCCAGTTGATGTAGAAATAGGAAACCACCTGTGGGATGAACTTTGGATGGATGAGGACACAAGTAAACCTTGTCCTTAAAAAAGATTGTATATAAAGGCCTTGATATTACTGCCCGCACCTCCCCTACTCTTCTAGCTAAGATAATGGCTACCACAGATGCTACACTACCTTCATTGACAGATGCAGCAGCGAGCCAATGATTCAGATGGGGGGAGGGGCACATGTAAGTTTAGATCCTCTGGGGGAACAGGGTCTTGCACTTGAGGATATAATTTGATTAGGGCCATTTCACTGGAGAAAATAGAGCAATTATCCACTTCAGGAATGGTGAAATAACAGCCAGATGTACTTTGATGGAACTGCCAAATCTTGGGCTAAGTAGTCCAGAATATGTTGAACTGAAGCTGGTCAGTGATACCCCATAATGGTGAGACCAGATAGAGAAACCCTGCAACTTAACAAGGTAAATAACTCTTCTAGAAGGCTTTCTACTATTTAGCAGGACCACCTGAACATCTTTCAAGCAAGCCTGCTCTCTAGCATTTACCTTATGGAGCATCCATGCAGTTAAGTGAAGGGACTATAGGCTCAGGTGGAGTAGGCACCCGTGATCCTAGGAGATTAGATCCGAGTCTAATGAAAGTGAAACTGGAGGTTTCATTGACAGCGCCATGAGAGTGGAGAACCAGTGCTGATGGATCTATGCTGGGACTGTAAGCATGACTCTAGACTGGTCCTGTCTTATCTTTTGCAATACTCTATGAAGGAGTGGGACTGGTGGGAAAGCACAGAGGAGCTTGCCTGCCTATGTCAGTAAAGGGACATCTGTTATGGAACCTACAAGTGAAATTAATTCATGCAGCAACTTATAAGCATTCCATAAAGTCTAGACACTAAACACATACTTATAAGTCTAATATCTAACTTGAACAATACTAACATACAGATGAGCTGGTCTGGTTTCTAGCTATGAATTTGTTAGTGCTCAGCTGATGCCAACAGCCTTGGCAAGAGTTGGCACTTAGTCTGCCAGCGCATAGACAGTATATCACACTTTCACAGTGCTCAAGACCCACTCCAAAGTAATCTGGAACAAAGCACAGCCGAAGTGGGAAAGATGGTTTGCAAAGGAGGTTCAGTTCTGGAGAGATAGAGACTAGTATGTCAACCTTGACTGGCCCATTAAAATGCCTGCTTTGTGGTTCCTGCGTGTCTTGAGGGGCCCAGAGCTGGAGCCAACGCAGCAGGAGGTGGAGACCTACACATATAATCCCTGAAATTCTTTTTGATATGTCCTGTCGAGGAGAGGAGCAGTGTGTCTGCTGTGGCCAACCATGCTTCCTGACTGGGGCAGATGTGCACAACCAAAAGGACTTCAGGGTTGCTCTAGAGTCCCTAACTCCATGGACTTTGCTGTTTCTCTAGTCTGAGGCTAGAGAAGGACCATTGAATAGCAAATCCTGGATAGTACTCTGAACTTCAGCAGAAAGACCAGAAGACTACAGCCAGGATGATCTATGTACGGCCACTGTGGAGGCCATGGTTCTTGCTGCTGAGTCCAATCCTGCCTGCAGTGAAGTTCTCATTGACCAAGAAAGAGAACTCCTGCCTAGCATTCTCCAGAAGCAGCTCCTTGAACTTTTCCATGGAACCCGACAAATTAAAATCATATTGTCTCAACAGAGCCGGTTGGTTGGTGATATGCAACTGCAAACCTCCGTTGAATAAATCTTTCTGCTGAATAAGTCTAGCTCTTAGCATTTTTTGATTTGAGAGTGGAAGGCTGGTATTCCTGTCACTCTCTCTCATTAGCCACTGCAACAGCTAATGAGCCCAGAGGTGGGCAAGTATAAAGGTAAACCCTTGGGAGGGTATATATTACTTTCTTTCTGCCCTTTAAGAAGTGGGCGGCAAAAAGGATGGAGTCTGCCATAAAGTCTTTATCGGCTCTATATCTACTCTCTTTAATAACTCCTGATAAACCTCAAATCATCAAGAGGAGGTGAAGTTTGCTGGATGAAATGGCCTCATCTGGAGAGGCCAAAGAGGAAGCCAAGACTTGAGAGGGTAGAACCTCTTCTACTGGCCGTTTTCCCATTCTAGACCATCCTGTTGATGCTCGATACTGGACTCAGTGCTGGATTCTGGGGACAGAGCTGCTTGGTGCATAGACTCAGGCCTTCTAGATGAGGGCACTGAGTCCTGGTCAGTGCTACAAACTTATGCCGGTATAATTATATTGCTCAGGGGTGTGCTGAACTCCCAGTGTAGACAGTGCTATGTCGATGGAAGGCTTTCTCCTGTCAGCATAGGTAGCGTCTTCACTAAGAACTGTAGCGGTACAGCAACACTGTAAGTGTAGACAAGTCCTGAGTATGTATGGTGAGAATACCTGGAAGCTGGGGGAAATCTGCAAAGGTTCCAAAATGGCCACTAATGCAGGGCAGGGTCCCACTATCCTGGCCACATTCCAATGACAGGTCCAATTGAAGGGTTCTGGGGGTAGTTGGAAAGAGGATCTGTGCGGAGACTGACGGGTCCTGCTTCAGGGTTGTGATAAGCAAGATCCCATCCTTGAGTCCAATGAGGATTCCCCTTCTTCTGATGATGGCAGGGCCAATCCAGTCAGTGCCAGAGACCAGTGTTGAGAGCCTGGCGATGAAAGCAGTGATGCCATCATAACAGAGTTGCAAGGGTCCACCTGTCCGGGAAGCAGGCAACTGAACTACTGGAGGTTGAATCAGTGGCAGCAGCGCCAAAGGACCAGACACCTGTAAAAAAGGAGACACCAACACCAAGAAGAAGAACAGGTTTTTGCTGCTGCAAATGTCTGGCACTGAGGTGGTCTCTTGTTGCAGGGCCAAAGAAGCTAACAGTGTTCCTTGCAGAACCCAAGCCAACTGTTCTGACTTAGGCACTGATTTGGAGAAGAAGTGCTTAGGTTTCAGGTGCACACTACTCTACTCCTTCTTGATCCTCTTACCAGACCAAGGGTGGAGACCATCTCCTGGCTGGTATCTCTCTGAAAGCTTTGTATTTCTTCCTTGGCATGGGCAAGGAAGAACAGTGCCGGGATTCCAATAAAGTGGAAGGTGCGCTTCTCACTCAAGCTGCAGCACTCGGCATAGAGTCAGACTGGAATGGTGAGCACCGTGTATATCAGCAGGAATTTCAGCCTTCTCTCCCTATCCTTCATCCTCAGCTTGAACTCCCTGCAAATCTGGCACTGGTCCTTCACTTGTGCTTCCCCGAAAGCACTTCAGGCAGCTATTTTGTAGGTCACTCACTGGCCTAGGCCGGAGCAAGAAGCACAAAGCTTGAAACCCAGTGGTCAGGGCATACCTTGATAGCGTGAACAGAAAAAACCCCAAATGGGAAAAACAAACAAGAAGTTCATTTTTATTATATAACACAGCTAAAACTTAACATCTATCCTAACAACACTAAAGACTAGACTTAATTATATACATACATACATACTATGTTCGCAAAGGCTGAGAGAAACAACTGTTCTGGAATAGATCATAATTCCAATGACTGTTGCAGGAGTTAAGAAGAAACTGAGGGGGATTAGGAGTGGCTACGCATGCAGCAGCAGGGGGAACTCAAGCCACTCAACGGGTATCACTGAGGGAAAACGTTTCTGCTGGCCATGTACTGGTGCTCCAACACCAAGAGTTGACTGCACAAGTGTAACTACTAAAAGAAGAAGAAATTTTAAATGTAGTTGTTTATTGCATGTCCACATAACATGCGTGTCCCAATACTTTAAAATGTGCATACCTTGTGTCTGAGTTCTAGGTCAGTCAGTTACAAGCAAAGCAGCCCCTTTCATTTCTCTCAAGATCAGGTCATACCATATACAGTTCAAGAGTTCACACAATAGCTGAGAAATATCTATCAGAGCATGTGATAATGCCAAATACATACATTTTAGAAAGCACTTACTTGTCTACAATGTACTTCACATTGCTGTACATACTGTGATCATCTCGATCTTTATATGGCTCAATATGAAAAGTGACCTGTAAAATGAAAATGCAATAAATGCAATATGGATTATAAAACATTACAGAACATAAAAGCCATTTGGTGTTATTTGTCTAAGTAGTATCAGGCACACCAACAGAGCTCTAGAAAGAGGGATTTTGAAAAGTCTCCACAATGCTATGTGTGTAATTTATTCAAGACCACTATTCCTGAAGACTAACTCAATAAGACTCACTATTTTTGGACTGCCAAGATTAACAACACAGATTCGATGAAAAAATAGAAAACTATACACCTACTCTTTATTACTAGTTTTATATAAGATTGCTTTTCTAAGCTACTATAAGTAATAAGCATGTTGGGAAAAAACTACTAAAATACATAAATATAGAGAGTATTCTAAGCTAGTTAACTAAAAGATTATCTATTTACAGTTCCAAAGCTGATTATAAAAAACTTTGATCAGCTGTATTCTATTTCTAAACAGCAACAATATATTCCAGTTGTTACAGATAATATTTCTCCAAGGAGAGCTTTCAGTGAGAAATTAGATTTTAAAATGTAGAATGTGAGAAGTTTACCTTTAATTTAGAGTTTTATAGGTTCATCAACAGCAATAAATACCTAGGCACTAAATCTAATATACTACCAATGCTATTTCAGGAATGGGGCTTATGAAATTATTTATGCTATAAACTTCAGCTCACTTCAAACTAAACGCCATTGTTTTCAACTACCCCAATTAAAAGGAAGAATGTTTTTACATTAATCATTGCTGGCAGTTTTTCAGAAGCAGTTTTTAGGTAAAATGCATATAATAAAACCAATATTCAGCCAGTCTCCATTGAAATTTGTCACTATTACAAAGATTTTTTCACAAACTGAAGTGAAACACACTGCTGGACTAAATTGTTAGGATTGTTAAGCTTCCCTCAATTGTCCTATTATTTCTTTTTACTTCAGTCCAATAAAGAGGCAAATCATACTTGACAAGGGTACTTCTAGTTACACACTGTTATATGACCTTGTTTTTCTCTCTTTAGACTGAAAATAATTTCTTTTGCATAATGATTCCGAGTTTATTGACAAGTCTATCATCTTTAACTCTAATCATTTTCTCATTCAAATTGCAAGGATGCTTGCAAAATAGAATATTGAAGATGAAATTCACTGTGCTAAGAATAGACGTTGAGTATAGGTACTGAGAAAAAAATTATTCCAATCCTACTGCTAATCTCTTTCCTGCTAACTTCCTGATTTTAATTTTAATCCATTAACACTTTAGGGAATAATACATTACAACCTTTATATTTCCTAATGCAGAAGAGAACTGTTCAACCAATATTAACTGAATCAAAAAATAATTTTGGGTCTTTTTGCACATCATTTGTGAACTACTCCTGATAGTTGAGAACATATTTAAGCTTTCCTAAGTCATCACCAAATATTTTGGGTGAGTAATTTTTAGACTATTGGTTGTCTGTAAGTTGCTCACTTTGAGTATTCACTATTCAAGAGAATGCTCATATGGTTTTGTTTCTTCTCGCCGATTATAAATAACATACACATGACAAATAGTTACCAGATAAATAATGTACTTAAGGTATGAATCTGAAACCAGAATTTGTGAACATTTTTCTGCATATTCCTGAACAACGAATAGCAGCAACTCAAATTTGGGCTTTTTATTATTAAGTCTTTTCCATTATTTGACTAGTTCTTATACTAATACAGTATCTCCTATCCCTCACTTTATTTCATGGTATGAACTACTGGGGCAGTCTCATAGATAAGAGAAAAACCTTAGGGCAGGTCTTCACTACGGGGGAGGGTTGGGGGGGGGGGTCGATTTAAGATACGCAAATTCAGCTACGCGGATAGCGTAGCTGAATTCGACCTATCGGAGCCGACTTACCCCGCTGTGAGGACAGCGGCAAAAATCGACCTCCGCGGCTCCCCGTCGACGGCGCTTACTCCCACCTCCGCTGGTGGAGTAAGAGCGCCGATTCGGGGATCGATTTTCGCGTCCCGACAAGACGCGGTAATTCGATCCCCGAGAGATCGATTTCTACCCGCCGATTCAGGCGGGTAGTGTAGACCTAGCCTTAGAGAACTGGAAATGGATAAAGGGGTGTTAACATTCTGGGTTATGAGCATATATGTAATACCAATACTGGGCTATAAGGGGTACTTAAAAGTATAGATATAATACCAGGGTTATGTCTCAGTAAGAGATACTTGCTCCATATAGCTACATTAATCTATGGTTCAAAATGATGTAGTGTGCTAGGACAGAAAAGACCCTCAGCCACTTTATGACAATAGGTGGCAGGCTGGGAAGGGGACAGAGCAGCACAAGAGTAAATTTGGTGCGGTCTCTTATCCCAGCTATGGGTCTTGCTATAGCTTTATGTCCATCACCCTCAGACTGCTACAAAGCCAGATTTCAGAGTAGCAGCCGTGTTAGTCTGTATCCTCAAAAAGAACAGGAGTACTTGTGTAACAAATTTGTTAGTCTCTAAGGTGCCACAAAGCCAGAGTGAACCAGAGTGTATCATTACACCGATGTGATACAGTATGAGAGTCCCTATGATATTTCTTTCCACCACAATCTCAATATCTACTGACATGGTTTCATGTGAAGACAGGCCATGAAAATACAATTACAACCATAAGGCCCAATGTTTATAGCATGATCTGAGCGGTCACCTGCTTGCTCTTCTATATTCTTTCTGTCACATCAACAGTGTCTCAGATTCTGTTGTAGGGCAGAAACATTTTGAATTGAGCCATGTTTTGCAGTTTGTATGTATTTCAAATGTCTTTGGAGGCCAAACTAGGACTTGACGTTGTTTTGTCATGATTAAGGCTGCGAGGTTGTCCCTTTCTGTGACTTCTGAAGTGGCCGGTGCATCTGGATCAGGAGCAGTTCAGGCAGCCCTGCACCAGGTGCACTGGCTGCTGCTAGGGCAGTCTCAGGCCCCCATCTCCAGCAGCAGAGTTTATGTGTGGGAGGAGGCAGGGGGTTGGGGCACTGTACGGGGTGAGGCGGGCTCTGGGCGGTGCTTACCTGGGAGGCTCCCCGGAAGCAGCGACACCCCCCTCGCTCAGCTGCTAGGTGGAGGCGTGGCAAGGCAGCTCTGCACACTGCTTCCGCTCAGAGCGGGAACTGTGGCCAATGGGAGCTGTGGTGATGGTGCCTGCAGGTGACCGCCTCACCCCGTCCAGTGCCCCCCCCTCCCACATCCAAACTCTGCTGCTGCCCGGGGGGGG